GGGGGGGGGGGGGGGGGGGGGGGGGGGGGGGGGGGGGGGGGGGGGGGGGGGGGGGGGGGGGGGGGGGGTCCAGGAGGTGGTGTTTCGTGCCGAAAGTGCAAGCGTGTCAATGGCTTCGAGCAGGGGGGGTTGTGGCATGAAAATGTGTATGTGGTCGGCTCCGATTTACAGGCGGAGGGGAAATGCCGCAGAGGGGAGGCATCCATGTTCTTTGCGCCATGCGACGGCAGGTAATATATACTTCGTGTATGTATTTTTTTTTCTCCCATCATTGGACTCTGTCGTCTGCCCCTCTGGCCCCTATCCTCCACTTCTGCTAACTAGACGACCCAACCGGGGCCACACAGGAGGGGGGGGTCGGACCCCGTCCTGCGGTTCCTGCCTGAGATATTTTATCGCGAGAAGGGTACAGCAATCCCTTCCCTCGCGACTTACGAAGTCGACTATCGTTTACTAACGAGCTTTGCAGCGCGTCACTTTCATCCTAGACCAGGATTTATTTTAGTGAGAAAAAACTCACGCTTCTTGGACTCGAACCCACGACCTGGTGCTTGGCAGGCTGCGAGGGTACCCTCTAGACCACCGGGGCGACCGGCACACGACGGCCAAGAGAACGCTTTTCCACGCAAATATGCCCCAACAAGCCCCCTGCTGCACTCACCCATCCCATCCCCCCCACCTCCCGCCGCGACCCATGCCAGGCGGAAGACGTAGGCATCATCACTCCGTACGCTGCCCAGGTCAGGCTTCTCCAAGATGTCGTCGGGACCTCCCGCCGATCAACAGCAGCAGCAGCAGCTGCAGCGGCGGCGGCTGAGTCGAAGATGGGGGGAGAGTGGGTGCGGCAGAATGAGGGGGGCGCGTACTACGGTGGGAACGGCGGCGGGGGGGGGGCGGGCGGGAAGGGGAGGAGGGGCGGCAGGAAGCGGGGGGGGATTGGTCTGCCGGAGATAGCCTCCGTCGACGGTTACCAGGGGAGGGAGAAAGAGGTGAGAACAACGTCAACCTTTGTCCCTTCTGCTTTTGTTGCTGTGGATTTTTTTTTTTCGTCCTGAGGACTGCGGTATGTCTGCTAGCAGGATTGGCGGCGTTTGATTGCTGTGATCGAGTGCGTTGCTTTTTTTTGTTTTATGGTGTCGGTACATGCGTGTGTATGTTTTTTTTCTAGGTACAGAAACACTACCCGTCAGATCAATAATACTTGGTTTGAAGCAACATCGTGGTAGGACGAAGTACATCCACGCTTCTTGCGGGGTCTCCGGTCGAGACTGCTTCCCACCCGCGCGCTTGGGCTGTACGTTTTCGTTTTCAGTCTCTACACGCTGGCTTGTTTTGTGAGTTTTTTGTTGGGGCTAACCATAAAGCGATGGGAGCGGGAGGATCCGCGTGCGACAAAGTTCTCACTCCACTCTCGGGACCTTCCGATCGCCTCAAGTTTGAGGGATATTGTTTGACTCTTTTGCACATCCCTTTGATCGAAGTATAGGAAGGAACGTTCGGCCATCGGTGCTCGGTCCTGCGGGAACATTGCTCCGTCCTCTTGAAGACAAATGGTCTATCAACTAAGGCATGCAATACACGAGCACCCCCCCCCCCCCCCCCCCCCCCCCCCCCCCCCCCCCCCCCCCCCCCCCCCCCCCCCCCCCCCNCCCCCCGCCCCCCGCTCCCTCCTGCGACACCACGATCCATAATATATCAAAAATCCGATCAATAACAACAAATCCGACCGTACGACAGGTGATCATCCTGTCCGCAGTGAGATCCAACCGCGGCGGACGGGTAGGCTTCCTCGCGGACTGGCGGCGGCTGAACGTGGCGATAACCCGGGCGCGGCGCGGGGTGGTGGTCGTCGGGGACCCGGACACCCTGAAGAGAGACCGCCACTGGCGCGCGTTCTTGCAGTGGTGCGAGCGTCGCGGGGCCGCGATGGGGGAGGCGTCGCTGTACGTTTCCGGAGGGGGCGGGGAGCGCGAAGAATGAGGTGGAGGTGGAGGAGGGACGGGGGCACCGTGGCTTGGGCAGAAGGGGGTGGGGGGGTCGAGCGCGAAGAAGAATGTGAAGGTGGAGGGAGGACGGCGGCAGGTACCCCGTAGGTGGGAGGAGGGGG